CATGTGGCCGGCATGACTAAACACCAAGGCACACGGAACACTGTTACCTTCCCAATGAAGTGGAACCTATTTATCTACTTGCAATTTCTTGCTTTCGAACTGCTAGGTTGGCAGGAGATTATTACTCATCTGCATATCCCAGGCTAGCCTCTTCTCATCAGATCTCCAAAGCTAAATAAGGTCAGCCCTGGTTACTATTTGGATGGGAGATCACCAAGAAGTCTAGGGTCATTACACAGAGGTGGGCAATGACAAAACACCTCTGAATGTCTCTTGCTTTGAAAACCCTATGGGGCTGCCATGAATTGGCTGCAACTTGATGGCAGCCTCCCCCCCAAAAAACCCCTATGGATGCCATGTGTACTGTGGCCGCCAAACTGTAACTAATACTGTGTGGGGAAAGTTGGAGCCAACTTATAGCAACCCCTTACGGTTTTCAAGGCAAGAGACAGAGGTGGTTTGCCATTGCCTGCCTCCACATAGCAACCCTGGACTTACTGGGTAGTCTCCCAACTAAGTACGAACCAGGGCCAACCCTGTTCAGCTTCCAAGATTTTACAAAAATGGGATTTATTTCTGAGTAACCATGTACACATCACATGCGGGAATTAAGATTGCTGGGGAAAAGATCAACAACCTCAGATATGCAGACGATACCACTCTAATGGCAGAAAGTGAAGAGGACCTAAAGAGCCTCTTGCTCAGGGTAAAAGAGGAGAGTGCAAAAGTGGGCTTGAAGCTCAACATCAAAAAAACTAAGATCGGACTGCAAGAAGATCAAATCAGTCAATCCTAAAAGAAATCAACCCTGACTGTTCCCTGGAAGGCCAGATAATGAAACTGAAGCTCAAATACTTTGGCCACCAAATGAGATGGGAGCACTCACTGGAGAAGACCCTGATGCTGGGAAAGATTGAAGGTCAAAGAAGACAGGGACGGCAAAGGATGAGATGGTTAGACAGTGTCATAGATGCAACGAACATGAAATTGAGCCAACTTCAGAGGACAGCAGAAGACAGAAAGGCCTGGCGTGACCTGGTCCATGGGGTCGCGAAGAGTCGGACTCGACTGTGCGACTCAACAACAACCCCAGTAGGGGTCAGTCACATGTGTGTGCACATGCACACACACACATATTAAAAAATACCAAAAAAGGGGGGGAAACCTTCCACCACCCTTGACAATGACTGCTTCACATTCCACTCACAGACACTGGAAGCTGAGTTAGATGGATTGGTCTGGAAAGAGATCAAGATGGGTAGCTGTGTTAGTCTGTCTGTAGCAGTAGAAAAGAGTCCAGTGGTACCTTAGACTAACAAAATTTGTGGCAGGGTTTCGTGAGTCACTGCTGTATCTGAAGAATGCCGCTGGATCTGAAGAAGTGAGCAGTGACTCATGGAAGCTCACACCCTACCACAAATTTTGGTGCTTCTGGACTCTTACTCTTTTCTACTGCTACCTAAATAATAGAATGTACAAATAGTGCAAAAAAGAAGAAAACCCTTCCATTCCCTTGCTTTGTTGTGCAATGCTACCCAGTGTCACAGTCAGATATAATCTAGAATCCAGTTGAACTGAGTGGACTGAAAATTAGCTTTCCTAAAGCCAATTTAAACACAAAACTTGAACACAGCAAGCAGTTAATTCAAACCCTTAAAAAGACTGGAGCAGCAAAAATAGATTCATTTCTGATTTTTTTGTGTAAATATATCAATACGTCTCCAATCTGCTTTGAGCTGTGATTGAAAGGAGTGTGCCAACATGAATGTCTCCTTTTCAAAAGCTAACCGCACAGAACCACTACCATCCCTCTCCAAGTTGCTCTTCCAAACTCCCACAAGGTCAAAAAGCAGATTAGTGATCTGCTATGTGAGCAACTGAATGGGAAGCTTGGGGAAAATACAGGATCGCATATGTACTATGGCAGTTTACCGTTGTTCTTGTGCCAAATACCCCCAATTGCTTTTTAAACTCAGAGAAATTAAAAGTCCATTTTGCGGAATAGTGTGATGGAAGTTTGTGTGTTAAACAACTGAATGGTGAGATAGAAAGTTAGCAAAATAAAATAAGCTTCTGAAAAGGAAGGTCTGCAAGCCATCGGAATGTACATGTGCAACACAAACATACAAGATACAGCTTCTAAGATTATACTTTAGATAGAGGGAAGGTGCTCTAATCTGAACAAAACAAGCCACCCTTTTTTTGAAAATCTAAGAAATCTACAAGTGCCCAGTAAATTCCATCCAAGAATATTTGCAGAACTTAACCCTATGATATCATCAAGAAGCATTCTGAGGAAACTTATAAAAATACTGACAGGACAACCAAATCTGGTCCCACCATTAGATGACCTTCTCTCATCAGCATTCAGTGTCAAAGCACAATTCTGTTCAGAAATCAGAGACAGAAATTGACTATACACAATCATTGTTTGGTGTTTGAACTGAACAACCAACCCATAGATCAACATAAATAAAAGTGACTTAATTTTAAAAATTCCAGCAGTCTATGATGCTATTAAGAGGTAACGGCGAACTGTTAACATTGAGTCCTGCAGCATTCTTTTAATGAACTAAAGAGGAACTGAAGTTTTTATCTTCTTTTTCATGCAAAAATATACAAGCCACCATACACAAATGGCTGATGAGAACTGGGACCGTGGTGTAAGGATTAGACGCTAATCATAATGCCACCAAAGTAAAACAAGATCCAAGAACTCTTTAAAATTATCTTACAAAAATAGCTACATTAAAATCTGTTAGCTCTAAAGTTTTATTTTCAAGCCCTATTAAAAGGCAATCTTTGAAAGGATCTGGCTCAGATGCTCAGAATCAGCACAGTAAAAAACATTAAAAATGCACACACAATGTAAGGTACTTTGAAAACGCTTTAAGGAGCTATTGCAGCTGGTTTGTTGTGTAGCAATTATTAATATTGCATAGCTGAAAAATGAGGTCACTTGACTTGCATTAACCCTGCAAGTTTACACATGGAAGGAGTGACAGACACCGTTTGCTAGTAATAAATGGCTCTTAGCTAAGAACAAAGCCATTTAGAGGAGTCCTGTTTATGAACAGCCAGCACATTAAGTGGTTTTTGTGGGTTTTCCAAATGCCATGAGGAAATATAGGTGCTGTTTTAGAATAAGAGCAAAGATGCTCATAGCACCTCTAACAACCGCTTTACAGTAGTCCAGAGATTAAGCCGAGTTAGCTCAAAAATGCACTACCTGTCAAAGCTACAATAGGATTGGCATATAGCTTTGATGGCCAGGAAAACCAGCAGATCATTCACTGTCACTGTATGTGCACCTGTGAAGACACCTACATCATCAAATGAGGTGAGGTCTTTGAATGCATTGATTCCAGGGGCACTATTAATGGGGCGGATGTCTCATACGTAATGGCTTTGAGCACCAGTCTACACATTACACAGTGTCCACCAGGAGTTCAGTGAAAACACTGATTCTGCAGCTATAACTCTGAAACACAGAGCGAATGACCAAATGGGCTGTGGGCATAACATGGAGAACCTCCACACCATCAGAAACTCCTGCAGCATACAATGTGTTCCTAGTCAAGGATCCAGTCAAGATGGGAATTAAGAGGCAGATTTCGGAGGAAGTGGAATGGCCTGTACCATTTCAAGTGCAGATATGGAACCACCTTTTGTAATGTCCCTTAGGTAAAAAGCTTGCTGCACATATCAATTAGCACATCAGAAAGAATGAGATAGCATAGCATACCCTTTTATTAATGTGCTGAAGCTTGGAACAGCCCACAATTCTGTCACTTCATTCAGTGTTCTCATTTTGCTGTTTGTGTAGACCATGCCTCATACATGAAGACAAGATGAAGTAGGGTCTTTACAAAAGATCCCCCCCCCCCAGCAAGTCATTGTAAGGACCTGCCATTTTTCTCTGAAAAACACAGTAAGGCTGCAGTCACACACACTAAATAATCCACTTTCAGTGCACATTCCAACTGGATTTTACTGTGTGAACTGGCAAAACCCAGTTGGAAAGTGCATTGAAAGTGGTTTGAAAGTGGATTATTTAGTGTGAGTGACCGCAGCCTTAGTAGACAAGTATCAGGCTCAAATACAATTTAAAGGGAACATGTAATTTCTATATGTTTATGCTTATAAGATATTTTGCACTGTGGTATTTGTGTCTCAGTGCAACAGGGCCACTTCCGCACTGTCATTTTTGTCACTTGTTTGTCATTGTTGCTTTGGGTGTCCCCCCCTTTTCCACATGCGTTTTGCTCCCTCTGGGACACACTGGGGGGGGGGGGACCTTGAAGCAACAGGGACAAACGAGTGACAAAAATGACAGTGCAGAAGTGGGCCCAGGTATCATAAGAAGCAGCACTGAGATTTTAAATCAATCATTGTTTTTAAAAAATCGAATTAATGAATAGAAGCCCTTCACATCACTTAGTAAAAGCAACCAGATAGATTTTCTTCCTCATTGTTGAGATTGAAAAGATCTTACAAGAAAAACTATCTGCATCAGAAATAACCAATGCTCCAATTAAAATAAGTCTTTTGCACATATGGGGAAAGGGGGAAAGAGAAGGAACGGAACACTTTTCGTTGTTTTGCTCAATTGTTTTGTTGGATTTACATACGCCAAGAGTGATAACATTAAAACTTTTCTGTGAACAAAGATTTCCAGTTTGATCATTGTTTTCAACAGAAAAGACAATAGAAAGTTTCTAAACATGTATGTAGAGATGTGGAATTTTTTAAAAGAAATCTTTCCTTTTAAAACAAAAGTTCAAGTAGCTTCTTTACACATATGCAAGAATGCAAACTTTGGGGGAAAATAAAAGGGCAGCTGCTAAAACAAGTTCTAAGAAAAGCATCCATATGGTGGAAACATCAAGACAGTTACAAGCTTTCAGTATGCGCTTGGGCAGCTGTTGATGTTCAGCCAAATATGTGTGAGGTATGTGAGGGTGGATGGACTCAGTTGGTTCCATTTAATTTACATTTACCACATTATTTTCCGGACAGTCTGCTGGCCATCTAGCTTGATATTATGAAGTTCTACTTGCTCAAAAGCCCTGAACTTTGGCACATCACGGGGCTTAGAAGACTCGGCACTGGATGCTGCTTTAGGTGCTTCTGGAACTGGTGGCAAACTTTGTTGATATTTCAGAACATACTCTCTTGGTCCCTGACCCCCTTGAAAAATAGATGGACTTCGGATTTTCTGAACTCCTATCAGTAGACAAGAGACATAGAATTATGGCCCCCTCCCTCCTTTAAAACATCAGCCTTGAGCAGAATTCATTATGAAATGGTCATAAACCCTTTCTGAGCACAGCATTCTTATGGGGTGACTGGTCTCTAGGAAGCTGAAGTATGCTTTCACCCCAGCAAAAGACACCACCTGGTTTATCTGACCCTATATACAAAACAGGTATTACTAATGCAGTTCTGTGGCTAGGATGAAAAGTCACTCAATGTACACTTTCAGTGCCCTAATTCATACATTTACAGCAGTAAGTATGTGTACACAACAAACACAATAAAGCCAGAGCTCCCAACCTGTTTCTTCCAGGTTCTTTTGATCAGTATTTTAAAAAATTCCAGGCTCAGTAGTAGATTTCTCTAGCAGGTGTGGTAAGTAAATAGGAAATGCTTTCTAGAATGTATAAGTGTGTATGCAGACTTCAGTAGTGAAGTATTCCAATGTAACATTTCTCCCAGTCTCTTGCTATAGAAAACATTTCCTTTCACTTTGGGAATTCAGACTCAATTCAGGATCACAGCTGTACATAAAACAGCTGATTGCACCAATAAAAATAAGCAATGCCTTATTTTCAGGAACATGTTCAACAGCAGGGCTTTCACATGGCTTTACTGCCCATCACTGAGCAAAGGTTGATGGTCTTCGCATATACCTGTTGTGCCACCAAGTGCAATATTAATGCACTGGCTAACAGTCAGGTATCTGTATCTTCCAAAAGCCACCAAGCTAGACAGGCATTCATTTCTCTTCCCTGCACTCACTTCAGCATGTGTCACAATGGTTTGTGGATTACAGCAACGCCTGCAAGACAATAAAATGTTGATTACATTAACAAAATGCATTCAGTCAAGCTTCGGGAATCTATTAAATACTTATGTGCTGCCTCTCCTGCTAACCCCGGTGACTTAAGGTGACTTGCAAAATCCTACCCTGAAGACAGAAAATAATTTTATTTTAAACACCCCCAGATAATCACGGGGGTGGGGAGTAAGAACAGCCATGACTTGTCTTCCAGGAATTAACTTGCCTTATAAAGTAACTTTCAAATGCCCACCTAGAAGAACAGCCTTAGAACGCTTACAGAAAGACAGCTAGGCGGTAGGAGCCCCCCCCCTGCTTCCTCAGGAAAGGTGGAGCCACTGCCAAAAAAAGAGCACACCTGTGCTTTGGTTCGCAGGGAGGGTTCAAGCAGGAGGAATCACCCCTGGGAGGGCAAGAGGGGTGAATGAGCTCATAGCCTCTCGCCTGCATTGTGACTTGCAGAATACCCAAGATGAACTGCTGATCCCATTCCTGGCACAGGCAGCAGCAACACAGCAGGCAAAAATGCTACCGACTTGGCTTGGATCCTAGGAACAAGCTCCACACATGCTAGATACAATACTTACTCAAATGCAAGACTAGGGTTTTTTTCATAGTACGCCATCAAAAGGGGGGTGGGTCATTTTATACTTGAGTACATATTGCACTTATGTCCCATAAAAATTCTTGTGTGCATGTTAACATTTTGAAAGATCATCTGACATTCAGGGTCATCTTCCTTTCAAGTAAATACAAGTAGTCCTTCCCACTGAGGATGCTTCCTCTTCTGCTAGAACTTCCATTTGCGCAACATCAATAATTTTAAATGGGCCCTTGCATGAACAGAAGTCTTAGAGGAAGAGGAGGCATGCTCCATGGAGAAGGGGGGGGGGGAGAGACTGTCTACATTGAAAGGAACGCATACATAGGATCAAAGCCATAACTTTTGCACCATGGATACAATCACGTAGAGAAGCCCATTGACTGCACACACTCCTATGGATGAAAACAGGCCTTAGTGCAACTCTAGAATGCAAGCTAGATGCACTAAGGAAATTCAATGTATAACAGCGACAAAAATTACATTGCTAATTTTTATAATTTTTTGTGGTGACCATGATATGGTTTTGTTGTTGTTGCAGATTTCAGAATGTGTGGGCAAGGCTGAGGGGATGGGCAGGGGGAGAAACAGATGGAAGGGGAGTGGGAGCTAGGCAGCTGTACAAAGAACAAAAAAAAAATCTCCCTAGCAGCTGAAAACCTTGCAAATAAATGGTTTTGAAGCCAAAAACTGCACTATATTCCAATGTTTTCTATGTAACCATAAGAGCTAAAAACATATTATTAAGAAGAAAGCAGAGAATCCCTGGAAATCACATTATATGCTAGATTCTAGAGACCTTGTTGCCAGTACAGTAAGTAAAAGACATGGGTTCTTATTTGCTAGTCAGATACTATTTCTGCTTTTTTACAGATCCCTTCAAACCTGCCTGACTTCATGTTTAAGGCACAGATCTCTAAATACACCTTAAAACAGCATGATAAAACTGAGACATCATTAATGGCAATTACCTGCATTTCTTCTACACATATTCATGTCGGCCACTTGTCTCCAAGTATTTGTTCCAGGATCATATACTTCCACGCCCTTCCTCACTAGAGGACCATCATGTCCCCCTGTAGCATACAACTGACCGCTGAGGACACCGACACCTGCAAAGCACAACACACCATTAATCAAGCCTTCTTTGCACAGGCAATTCCTATTTGGCAACAGTAGATATTGCCCTTGCCATAAATTACAGTTACATTCAGGAAAATTCTCTTGCCAGTCCAACCTTTCAAGCTGATGCACTGAGACAACGGACCACAAAGTCATAACATAACATAAAAGGGACACTGCTATCCTCACATACAAACATTAAGACACAGTCCTGTGGGCTATTTATTAGGCTGGAATTTGAGAACATTCATCAATCATCATCATATTACTGTCCTTTAATAGTTACAGAGGACTAGGTGCCATGATAACAAATGGCTAAGAAAGAAGCCGGATATCAGGATTCTTTCCTACCCTCGTGGTTCTTGATTCTAGTTATTGGGTCACGTTTGTTTCCCCCTCCCTGACTGAAGCGACCCCCCATGGCCATGGAAATGATGAATTTTAAAAGCACAAATCACTGTATTCATCACAGAACCTAAAGCTAACCAGAAGAACATGGATTTGGACACAACCAGTGTTCCCTCTAAGCTGAGTTAGTGTGAGCTAGCTCACAGTTTTTTAGCCTCTGGCCCACACATTTTTGTCTTAGCTCAGGAAGGATGGCTCCAGAGTAAACTTTCAAATGAACATTAACTGGATGGGCTGGGGAGTGAATGCCACCTGCCGCCATGCAAGCGATGCCTTTGCCCTCATGGGACATTCCCCCCACCAGGCAACCCAGGAAGAGGTATCTGTTGGAAGTGTCCCATGTTGTTCAAGTCTCTTTGCATTCTCCACCACCAGGACCCCCCCCCCCCCACTGAATTTTAAAAGCACAAATCACTGTATTCATCACAGAACCTAAAGCTAACCAGAAGAACATGGATTTGGACACAACCAGTGTTCCCTCTAAGCTGAGTTAGTGTGAGCTAGCTCACAGTTTTTTAGCCTCTGGCCCACACATTTTTGTCTTAGCTCAGGAAGGATGGCTCCAGAGTAAACTTTCAAATGAACATTAACTGACATGGGCGATGCCCACCCTCTCCTGGAATGTTCCCTGCACTGGTTCCCCTGGTCGGTGATCGCATTGCCATTTCAGGGTGGAGGGTGGCACTGGGGAGAGAACACCATCTGTCCCTGTGTGGGTGTTCCCCGGGCAGGGTGGAAGGGGTTGGTCCTGACCCGGTTATCATGTTGCCATTGGGTGGAGGATGGGCTGGGGAGTGAATGCCACCTGCCGCCATGCAAGCGATGCAAGCGATGCCTTTGCCCTCATGGGACGTTCCCCCCACCAGGCAACCCATCTCCTCCAAGTCTCCCTGCACTCTCCACCCCCAGGAACCCCCCAAAAAAACCCCTTAAAAATAAACATGGATGGATGTGAGTAATGCCATCCCCATCTCGGGATGTTCCCTGCGCCAAGCAACCCAGGAAGTGATATCCGTCAGAAGCAACCAACTTCCTCCAAGTCTGTTTTCTCCACCTCCATGAACTCCCCCAAAAAAATAATAAACATGGATGGGCGTGAGCGATGCCCTCCTTTCTCCTAGGATGCTCCCTGTGCTCGTCACCCTGGTCAGTGATCACTTTACCATTTAAGAGTGGATGGGCCCTGGGAGAAACCTCCACCTGCCCCTGCGGTTGGCCCCAGGAGGACAGAGGCACCCATCACCATGTGGGTGGTCCCTGGGGAGGTCCTCTAGGAGTTGGATGCCTGTAACTTAACCAGTTCTGCTCTATACTGTCTGAAACTGGCACTGGACCACTCTTCCAGAAGCAGTTTCCAGGGGAGCACCTGGCTTGGGGGGTCTGCTACTCAGACCCCAGACCCAACAGGGATGTGACTTTTGGGACATGTGCAGGGCCACCCCAGGGAGGGACTGTGCAAGTTGGCCTCTAGCTCACCCGGGTCAGTTTTGGTCACTCCCAAACTGGCCGCGGTGACATCCCATTGAAAAGCATGGTCTCTTTGGGCATCTGTAGCTCCGCCTCCTGAAGTCCGATGGGGACCAACCTTGGTGGACACACTGAGGAGAGTGAGCTGAAATTACCCTGAGAATTTGGAGCCCTGACACCTCCCGGGGGCTTTTTCGCATCTAGACCACTTTGCGAACCAGTCCGGGAACGGGACCAGTTCAGTTCGGTCCAGGGCAAATTCACGAAAGTGCCCATTCCTAGTGAGCATTGTGGAATTGTCATATGCACTGCCAAGCTGAGAGAATTCTTCTGCCATCCATAATCATGACAAAGCTGAAGAGAATCTTCCCCATTTTGATTGTAATCTTTTAACATTCTTTTCAGCTCTGTCTTTCAGTATAAGAACAGAGTGAAAACACTCCGGCCTTATGCCATGCACAGTTTGTATACACTGCGGGTGGGGGAGCTTTGATGATGGGAACCAGATGAGGGAGAAGGATAATTTGCACAAAAAGGGAGCACTGTACATCAACAGCCAACATCAATAACAAACAACAGGAGGAATACACTGACACTTGTCTTCACAGAACCCTTACAAGTATCCTGCGTACTGGCATAAACAATCTTTCCTCTCCAAGTAGCTGCAGAAACTGCAGCCAGAATTCCATTCCAATCTCTGTATGGAATCCAGAGCAAGGATATTATTGCCTATTCACACTACAATGCAGACTGTGTGTGAGGATCCAGAAAGACCACTAGCACCAGCGACCAACGTGCATCCAGCTCTCCCTCTGTGGGACTGCAGACTCTCTGATCCTAGCGGGGTGCCTATGCCTTTGAGACACAACTGTTTGCCAGCCACAACACATGCAGCTGTTCCTAATATGGGCTGGTGTGATGAGAAAGCTCTACTTTTTCATTTAATTGATTTTTACCCCACCTTTCTCCCCAATAGGGACTCCCCAAAGCAGCTTCCATCATTCTCCTCTCCTCCATTTTATCCTCACAAAAACCCTATGAGGTAGGATAGGCTAAGACTGATTTTGCACAATGAGCTGCGCCACCGTCGCCCCTCCCTTTGCCCCGTTTCCATTGGTCAATTTCCCACTCGAAGCTGCATGGCGACATTTTGACCCGCAGCTTCGCCCGATTTTTGAGGATCACGAAACAACCATTGGATACTCACCGTGAAGGGTCCTTCTCCTCTGAGGCTTAGAGGACATCTTGTGGGTGATTCCCATCCATCACTTAGGGAGCCAGGACTAATTCAAAGCTTCCTGTTTCCTGTGGTGGGAGTCACCCTAGGCTCAGTTCTGGTGCTCCGAAAGCAGTAATCTAAAAAATTGAGATTCTGAACAAAGGACATACAAACCAGAATAACCTGCTAACATTTTAAATTAACAACCACAGCATTGTGAACAGGAAGGAATGAGCATCTAGAAAGGTTTACTCTCTCTAGAAACAGTAAGCATTAGAAAAAAGGAGATAACGTAAGAAGCAACAGAGGAACAGTGGGTGACGACCCCGGGAGGGCCAAGATGTCCTCCAAGCCTCAGAAGAGAAGGACTCTTCACGGTGAGTATCCAATGGTCGTTCTCCCTCTGAGGTGGAGGCCATCTTGTGGGACCTCCCAGAGCAGTGTCCCTAAATGTTGGGAGGGGGGGGTCGTCATCGCAGGAAAGAACAGATTGAAGTACTCTCCTGCCGAAAGCTGCATCCGCAGAGTCGTATACGTTGATCTTGCAATGTCTAATGAATGTGGACAGAAAAGACCATGTAGCAGCCTTGCAGACTTCCTCCACTGAGGCTCTGTTAACGAAAGCTGCATTTGTAGCTGCGCTGCACAGGGAATGTGCCGTTATTCCATCTGGTGGCTTTTGGGTCAGACTCTGGTATGCTTCAGCTATACAAGTTCTAAACACTTTACTAATGGCCGCAGTAGACATTTTCTTTCCCGTGTGAGGAGGAGTAATATTCACAGACATGGCCTCGGTTCTCCAGAAAGATGCTGTTCTGAGGATGTAGCACTTAAGGGCCCTTCTGATGTCTAAGGCAAGCCAAAGCTTCACTTTGGGATAAGTAGGATTCGGGACAAATGATGGCAAACAGAGTTCCTGCACTCTGTGAAACTGTGTGTTTGATTTTGGGACAGAAGGTAGGTCCGTTCTCAGGACGACCTTATCTTTGTGAAAAACACAAAGGTCCGACCGAATGGATAGTGCACTCAGTTCTGATATTCTCCTGGTGGAGGTTATGGCCACCAAAAAGAGAACCTTCATCCTTAAAAGCTGAAGAGGAATATCCTTAATCGGTTCGAATGGAGCCTTTGTGAGAGCTGTGAGGACTGTGTTGAGCTTCCAAGTTGGAAACCTGTGTTTTGTTGGCAGAAGCTTGGCAGATGCCCCTTTGAGAAAATGTTGCACATGAGGGTGCTGAGAAATTGGAATGCCATTGAAAGGTGGGAGGACCGATGTTAGGGCCGCAATCTGTCTCTTTAGAGTTGCTGCTCTAAGCCCCCTCGCCATATCTTCCTTCTGGCCCAGCGAACAAAGGCCTTCCATGTACAGTTATAGATCCTGGAAGTAGATGGGTGCCTAGAGGCCAGGATTGTGTCGACAACCAAATGATTATATTTCCGCCTTTCAATTTCCATGCGGTCAAACAGAACCACTCCGGTCTTGGATGCCAAAGTGGTCCCTGGATCAGCATGTCTGGTGATGTTAGAAGATGTAAGGGTGGAGACACCGCCATCTGCTGCAGGGATGTGAACCACGGTCGTCATGGCCAGTATGGTGCCACCACTATAATGTACACTCCCAAGATCCGAATCTGTCTTAGAAGCTTCGGGCTAACTGGCAGAGGAGGGAAGGCATATAGCAGTCCTTAAGGCCATGGGGCCGTCAGTGCATCCGTGTCCTCCGCTTGAGGGTGGTAGTATCACGTGAAGAACCTGTCGAGCTGCGTGCTGGTTGGGGATGTGAAGAGATCCACTAGTGGTGTTCCCAGCATTTCAGTTATGAACTGAAAGACTCTGACGTTCAGGGACCATTCGCTCTCCTGTATCAATTGACGACTTAGCCAATCCACCTGGACGTTTACCTCTCCTTTTACATGTTCCACCATTATCAAAGAGAGGTTGGATTCTGCCCACTTAACAACTTCTTTGCTTCCCTGAGAAGAGCCGGTGACCTGGAACCTCCCTGCTTGTTCAGGTAGGCTTTCGCCGATATGTTGTCCGTCCTGATGAGAATGTGCCGTTCCTGGATGAGCTGAGCAAAGTGTTTCAACGCCAATCTGATGGCTCGCAGCTCTAGCAGATTGATAAGTAACTTCTGTTCCACTGGGGACCATACGCCTTGTGCCATCATATGCTGTAGGGTGGCTCCCCACCCCGACAGACTGGCGTCTGTGAAGATCTGGGTTCTGTCTGGAATCCAAAAAATCTTGCCTTGAATGAGTTTGCTGAGATTGGTCCACCAGCACAGACTCGTCTTCACCTGAAGGGGAACCCTCAATAGGAAGTCCATTCCTAATGCAACATGATTCTGAAACGGTCTCAGGAACAGTTGAAGCTGTCTGGAATCTTCCCCATTGTAGTGTGTCGATGCTGCTACCATGAGACCCATCATCCTCGCCAGTATGGAAAGAGATGACATTCTTGCTGTAATGATCTGGGTTGATAAGGACTTTATCTTCCTCGCCTTGTCTATTGGAAGGGATAACTTCGTGGATCGAGTGTCTATGAGCACTCACAGATGTTCCAATCTCTGAGTGGGTTTCAAGTAACTTTTCTTCAAATTGACTAGGAAGCCAAATTCCCTTAGACACTGCATGGTCTTCTGTGTGTCTCAGTGAGATTGTTCTATCATCCTGGACCTTATCAGCAAATCATTGAGGTAGGGGTGAATGTGGACCCTTTGTTACCGAAGAACTACAACTGGGTGAATCAGGATCTTGGTGAAGACACGTGGAGCTGATGATAGACCGAATGGAAGTGCTCGGAACTGGAAGTGGTCTTCCTCCACGTTGAACTGCAGAAATCTCCTGTGGGGCGGAATAATTGGAATGTGCATGTAGGCTTTGGTCAAATCTATGGAAGTGAGGAATTTCCCTGGTTGAAGGGATTCTGATATGGACCTGAGGGTCTCCATTTGGAAATGTCTGGGTTTGACATATTTGTTGACAAACTTTAAGTCTAGGGAGGGTCTCCATTTGGAAATGTCTGGGTTCGACATATTTGTTGACAAACTTTAAGTCTCCAGTCTCCTGTCTTTTGGGGCACAGTAAAAAATATGGAATAAACTCCTGTTTCCAGCTTCTTTGCTGGCACTGCTTCTATCGCTTGGATGCTCAACAGATGACTTATTGCCAACTTGGTTCTATCCAACTTTTGTACATTTTTGGGACTTGGGGACGTGACGAATCGGCAGGGGGGAAGAGTTCAGAATTCTATTTTGTAGCCCTCTTTGACAATGTCCATAGTCCATGTGTCTCCACGAGATGTTGACCATGCATGTTTGAAGAAAGCCAGGCATCCCCCCACCGGTGGTTCTAGGTAGTCATGCTCTAGGGTTCTTGGGGTCCCTGTCCCCCTTGTCCTGACGGTTGGCGTTGGGTCTTGAAAACTGGTTGGCGAGGCCTCCTCTACGAAAGGACTGCTTATTATTGCTCCAGGGTGGTCTTCTGTCCTGACAGAACCTGGGCAGTGTGTGGTGTGTGCGAAATGAAGAAGCAGAAGAAGAGGCCCCCTTGTCTCCCAAGCGAACCATCTTAGGGAGAGCGTTCTTCTTATCCCGAGTTTCCACAAGGATCTGTTCCAGTGACTCCCCGAAAAGCTTGTCACCCTGAAAAAGATAAGCCGAAACAATCGCCTTAGACTGATAGTCAGCATGCCAAGCCCTGAGCCAAACCATGCGGCGGACTGCTGCTGTGGCAGCCATAACCTTTGAGGCACAAACCAAGGGGTCCAGAGTGGCATCAGCAGCGTAGGATATTGGCTTAAGAACTCTGTTGCCCCTTCCAGAAGCCTGCAGTTGCTGTCAGGTAAAAGTTGAATAAGCTTCCTCATCCACACGATGGTTGCCCTAGAGATGGTAGATGTTGCTGCAGACATTTTAATAGCCATGGCGTTGGCCTCATGAGCCATCCTCAAGGCGAATTTTGCTCGCCTGTCAAGGTTGTTCTTCAAATTGCCATGACCGTCCTCAGAAACCAAACAAGATGATTGCAGCACCGCTACTGGTGCATCAACCGCCAGTACCTGCAATACACTTGAAGCAGAAGATGAAATGTGGTACAGCTTCTTAATGGCCCCTGGCACAGGTCTATTAGCTAGTGGCCATTCCCACTCTGCTTTCATCTTTCTGGTATAGAAGTCAGGAAAAGGAAAGGCCAGTTCAGAATAGTCAACAGGGGGAAAGAACTCATCTGTGATCTCAGCCCCCTCTCTTTGATCCTGGTATTTTGCCTCCAATAGGGTGTGTACCCTGAATATGGAGAGCTGAAAGAGTTTTTGAAAGTAGATAGGAAATCTCTTCTCCCTTAAAGAACCTGAAGGATCGCTCTGTGGGAGTGGGTTTCTTATCTTCCTCCTCGTTAGAGGAGAATTCCCCTTCTTGCTCGCTGGGGATATGAGACAGGGAGTCATCCTCATCCCCCGTAATATCAGGTATACATCCCTCCCAAGGTAGCCTCTTTTGTGCAGCCTTGGTGGGCCAGGGACGTTTTCCCTTGAATTTCCTAGGAGAAAGAGGGGGAGAAGGAGAAGGGGACCTGGGGTGCGGATTCCGTCCCCCCGAACCACAAGAAAAGGTGATCTCCTCCCTGATGGCTTGTCTAACATAGGCCATTACTCTACGGGAAAGCAGAGGGGGCCCAAGATCGGTAGCGTTACCAGATTGGGATCCCACATTGTCTCCTTCACAGGCTCCATAGGACTCATTCTGTCCTAGAGGGAGGCTTTTACAGTGCCCACAACTTACAGGGCATGATTGCTGCAGGAGTAGGCACTGCTGGCCATTCCCTTTTTTCTCCGTATGCCGACCGGAAACTTTCAAAATGGCCGCCGGAGTTGACGTGGGCTCTTTATGTGTGCTTGTTTTGGCATGCTTAGCTACTTCTGCGTCTCCTTGCCTCTCAGCCACGGCTGCAGTCCTTTTTCGGGCCGCGTGGTCTTTTTCGCCGCTGCCGTTCCCAAGTTCTTCACACTCCGGGTTGGAGAGGAAATCATCGCCCTCCCTGGCTGCCATAAGGCTGGAGATCTAGGTCATGCAGGAGAGTTAAGGCATGGAGAAAAAAGATGGGCCCAAGCCTTCTAAGGAAGGGGGGG